CGTTCTCGGATTCTGGAGGCCTGGGAACCGTCGAAAAAGGGCTCTGGATGAGAATCCGGCCCTGGGGAAGTGGTCGACGTCCCGTGCCGCCGACGTCACGAACAGAAATGCAACGCCGGCGGAGAGCGACGAGCCGGATGGCGACGACGACGCCCGACGGCCTCCAGAGGCTTCCAGAGCCAACCCTCCTGGAGCGAGCGTTAGAAAGACGGGGTCCAGGGTTCTGGTCGTGCCGACGGCCTCCATCGAAGAAGACGACTAGTAATAGTCAGGAGAAGGAGAAGAAGATCAAAGAGTGACACTGGACATAAGAAGTAACAGGAAGAGTGTGAATGATACCGCGAACAAGAGTAAACGCAGCCATGCGTAGTGTTCAAAAGCGGTCTACACAAACTTTCGGAGGTCCGTGCGGATATCTTGGCTCGGCGCTGGACCACCCTTGCCGGCGCTCGGAGCGCGCCATGGGGCGGCGCCAGAGGCGCAGCCCAGCGCCGATCCAAGACCTCTGCGCGGACCTGCAGGAGTTCCTGCTTTCGCCGCCTCCCTGCTGTGCATACTCGTGCTCCACCTCGTCCTCCTGCTCCTCCTCCTCTTCCTCCCCCTCCTCCTCCTCCTCCTCCTCCTTCTCCTCTTCCTCCTCCTCCTCTTTCTCCTCCTCCTCCCACGCGTTGTGCTGGTGCTCCGGCGCACACGTTCCAGAACCTGTTCCGAGCGTGCTCCTTCCCCCTTTGCGCGCTCTTCCTGCTCTTCCGCCTGCGATGCGCGCTCACGACAGAGGGCCAGCCGTCAACGAAGGGGACGCACAGGGACTTTGCACAACGACAGGCCCATGCTAACAACTGAGATGCTTCTGCTGGTGATCCTTATCTTATTGGTTGTCTTGCCGAACGGCGCGGGCCCTCGCCCCCCCCCCACTCCCCCCCCTACCCCTTGAGTAGATCTTTGCTGTTTTGGGCGCCTGTTTTGAGCAGGTGGAGCCTCCCCTCATAGGACGCACTTCTGCAAGCAGACGCATTAAGCAGAGGTCAAGAGCCAGACCCCCCCCTGTCCCTCCTTTCCGCCCAGCACCGAAACGCCGAAGAAGAAGACGTTCACCTGTTCGAGAGTAGGTCCTCGCCATTCCGCCGATCCCCCTGAAGAGGAGAGCTGCGGCCTCCGGTGCCGTGCATGTATTGAGGAGGAGGAAGAAGGAGGAGGAGGAGGAGGAGGACGAGGAGGAGGAGGAGGAGGAGGAGGTGGAGGTTGAGGAGGAGGAGGAGGAAGAGGAGGAGGAGGAGAAGCAGGAGGGAGGAGGAGGAGCAGGAGGAGGAGGAGGAGCAGGAGGAGGAGGAGGCGTGAGTGTGTGTGTGTGTGTGTGTGTGTGTATGTGTGTGTGTGTGTGTGTGTGTGTGTGTGTGCGTGAGTGTGTGTGTGTGTGCGTCCGCTCATTTCTCTAGTATATCCTCTCTTACCGCAACTGTATTGGCTCAGGTATTGGCATAACTCTGACAGTGCACTGCTCCCTGCGCAGTGCCCTGGAAAAGGAGTCCTACTCCTCGCCTCGACCTACGGACCCCGTATAGGAACGGCCCCATCGGCCGTCTCCCTATACACAAAGGTTATCCGCCTTTTCTTTTTTCGGTTTTCGTTGTCGCAATTCTCGTCATCTTGGATTCCGCCGCTTGTCGCTGCAACTCCGTTGCAACGCCTGCAAGCGTTCGATCTCCTCGACGGCGCGCTCTCGCGACGGCACCATGGAGAAGGCACGAGAATCTGTGATACCTATTTCCCCCCTCTCAGGTGAAGGCAGTGCTGCGTCTTTCGCGGCTGCATTCGGCGAGCTCTCACCCGATTCTCCGATGGTTCCGCCGCCCGCGCGCGCTCGCACGCCTCGACCGTCGCGACAACGGCTGGATTCGCCCCCCGCAGCGCCTGATACATCCGTGTCACGACAGTCGGTGGCGCCACCCACAGTTGGGGTAGGGTTTGGGTTAGGGGTAAGGGTTAGGGTAGGGGTCGGGGCTCGGATCAGGGGTTCGGGCAGGGGTTAGGGTTCGGGTAGGGGTTAAGGTTTAGGGTTGGGGCTTAGGGTAGGGGTTAGGGTAAGGGTTAGGGTGGATTAGGGTTTGCATAAGGGGTTCGGATCGGGGTTTCAAAGGTAAAGGTTAGGCGTAGGGTGGGGGTTCGGTCTAGGAGTGGGGGGTTGGGTTAGGGGTGAAGGGTCAAGCTAGCCAGCTCGAGCGAGTCAAGCATGGCATGCCCATTCCCACCCGCCCTCCCACAACATAAGAAACAGTGATGGCACAACTGGGGGCTGCGCGGGCATTTCAGTGCGAGCGGGGGATACCCCAGGACACCGCATTCACGTCCGCGCGGGATGCGCGCCACGTCCCATTCCCGCCACGCATTTCGCATCGTCGACGACAAGACTGGCCATGTTGAACGGACACGTTCCGCCCTCCCACAACATAAGAAACAATGCTGGCGCAACTGGGTGCTGGCGCGTAGTGGTAGTATTAGTATTGGTATTCGTATTATTATTAGTAGTAGTAGGTAGTAGGTAGTAGGTGGTAGGTGGTAGGTGGTAGGTAGTAGGTAGTTGGTAGTGGGTAGTAGGTAGTAGGTAGTAGGTAGTAGGTCGTAGGTAGTAGGTCGTAGGTCGTCGTAGGTAGTAGTAGGTAGTAGTAGGTAGGTAGGTAGGTAGGTAGGTAGGTAGGTAGGTAGGTAGGTAGGTAGGTAGGCAGGCAGGCAGGTAGGTAGGTAGGTAGGTAGGTAGGTAGGTAGGTCGGTAGGTAGGTAGGTAGGTAGGTCGGTAGGTAGGTAGGAAGGTAGTAGGTAGGTAGGTCGGTAGGTAGGTAGGTAGGTAGGTAGGTAGGTAGGTAGGTAGGTAGGTAGTAGTAGTAGTAGTAGTAGTAGTCGTAGTCGTAGTCGTAGTCGTAGTAGTAGTAGTAGTAGTAGTAGTAGTAGTAGTAGTAGTAGTAGTAGTAGTAGTAGTAGTAGTAGTAGTAGTAGTAGTAGTAGTAGTAGTAGTCGTAGTCGTAGTAGTAGTAGTAGTAGTAGTAGTAGTAGTAGTAGTAGTAGTAGTAGTAGTAGTAGTAGTAGTAGTAGTAGTAGTAGTAGTAGTAGTAGTAGTAGTAGTAGTAGTAGTAGTAGTAGTAGTAGTAGTAGTAGTAGTAGTAGTAGTAGTAGTAGTAGTAGTAGTAGTAGTAGTAGTAGTAGTAGTAGTAGTAGTAGTAGTAGTAGTAGTAGTAGTAGTAGTAGTAGTAGTAGTAGCAGTAGTAGTAGTAGAGCGTTCCAAGAAGATCGTTCCAAGACGCCCGAGATGGCCTCCAGACTGCCGTAGCGCCAAGAATCCGCGGGGAACCTCAGGAGGCCCTCCAAGAGCCTGAACAAGCAAAAACCTCCCAGGCATTCGTCACCCCAAAAGGCCTCCTGGAACGCCCCGGCGCCCAATGAATTGGCGAGCTAAAAACGTGCGCCGAGCCAGAGCGGGAGCGCAATTTTGAGAACATTTCGCTCGGCGCCCAAGCGAGAAGGTCATTTCATTCACTTCGGGCGGGGGGGAGGGGGGTGTGCCGCGCCCTATTCTTGCCGTGCACTTTTGCGGGGTGGACGACAAGAACAGATATGTGGGCAGGGAAAATCAGCAGGCATTGTTTCTGACAAGTAAGGTGGCCCCTCCCGCCTTGGGGTTGCCCCAGAAGTCCGCGCGCGATGTGCGCCGCGCCCCATTCCTGCCACGCATTTCGCATCGTCGACGACAAGACAGGCCATGATGAAAGGGAAAACGGCAACTCTGTATTGTTTTTTACAGTCAGGATGGGAGGGCCCGCGGCCCGCATGGACGTCCGCGCGCGATGTGCGCCGCGTCCCATTCCTGCCACATATTTCGCACCGTCGGCGACAAGGCAGGCCATGCTGAGAGGAAAAGACATTTGGTATTGATTTTTTACGGTCAGGATGGGCGGGCCCGGATTGACGGCCGCGCGCGATGTGCGCCGCGTCCCATATGTGCGCCGCGTCCCACTGCTGCTACATATTTCGCACCGTCGGCGACAAAGCAGGCCATGCTGAGAGGAAAAAACGAAGACTTTGTATTGATTTTGTACAGTCAGGATGGGCGGGCCCAGGTTGACAGCCGCGCGCGATGTGCGCCGCGTCCCATTCCGGCCGCGCTTTTCGCATCGTCGACAACAAGAAAGACGATGTTGATAATAAAAACGGCCACTTGGTATTGATTTTTTAAAGTCCGGATGGGAGGTCCCGGATTGGGTCGCTATCGGCCGGAATACGACGTATGTGGGGGTATATAATAATAAGGAACAAGGATTAGGGCAGGGATTAGGTTGAGGGTTAGGTGTGGCACGACAGGGATCGGGTTCCGGAGCCAGGGAGCGGCGTGGCAAAAGGGGGGGAAAGGGGGAAGGGGGGGTCCGAATTTTACGCTCAGGGGGGGGGGGGGGGGTCGGACCCCCCCCCCCGGTGAAAAGGGGGGGGGGGTCGTCGTCGCCGGCGACGGATCGGGAGGGGGGGACTGGGGCGGGGTCCGCCGACGATGGAGCGGGAAGCGGGTGGGGGTCCCCCGACGACGGATCGGGGAAAGGGGGGGGGGGTCCCGCCCCCCCCCCCCCTTGGGTGATCCAGCGGCGCGCCTACGTCCCCGTTTTTTGTTTGCCGGCTGCCTCCTGGAAACCTCGGGGTTGGCCTCTTGTGCGAGCCTTTCAGGGTTCTTGGGGGCTTCGGAGGGGCCCTCCAGGGGTCTCTTGGGGCCTCTCTGGTGCCCTTATCTTGAAGGCTTGTGGACTGTCTTGGAGGCCTCGTCTGTTGGGGCCATTTTGGCCCAGCCCCAGGTCCTCTTGGGGGCGTTTGGGGATATCTTGGGCCGGTCCGGGTGGCCTTTCGGGCCGTCCTGGATTGTCAGACAGTCACAGCGGCGAGAACGCGAAAATCATGCAAACACCTAATTATGAATAATCGATGCTCTTGGCTTCTCTGTCCGTAACTATTTTGGTTCAAGAGACCTTTTGGATTCAGTCCTCACGGACGCGCAGGTGCCACTGCATACCCAGCAACAACATTCTTTCCATACTTTTCATCGCCAATGGCGGTCATCGATATCAGAATCGTCGTGACGGTCGCCCAACTCGTTCTGCCATCTCGCGCTTGGGTAAGTGACGCGGGTAAAAGGGCGCCTGATATGCAGCTGATCCAGACGCGTGTCATGGACCAGCAGGGCTCGTTGGTGCCACAAGACGGATCCCTGGGCGGACATGCCATTGGCACGAAGCGCGCCAAGGTCGCTGGTTGTGTTGACAACGATGAAGGCGCCGTCGAGCTTGCAGACAATTATTCTCGGGTGCATGATGTCAGTGGTTGTTCAGATGTCGGCATGTACTGTGCGGACGCGAACTTGTCGAGCAAGGTCCTGGCATTATGTTGTGCCACGTGCAGCCAGGGTCCCGAACCGGAGCCGAAGCCGGTCCATTGCCAAGATCACTCTGACTGCCAGGCCTCGGAATTCTGCTACGAGGGTACGTGCGACAGTTGCAACCAGTGCCAGTTCTGCTCCGATTGTGCGTACGTCGACGAGTGTGGGCACTGTGGGCCAGGGTTTCCGTCGCAAGAGACAATTCCCTGCCACGCCCATGACTACGTGGTCACTTTGGGGCCGCTTACGGTGACACACGCGTGGGCCAATCTGTCTGCAGACGAGCAGCTTCAGTTTCTCGAGGTGAAGTTTGGTGAGCTCGACAAGGACAACTCAGCGACCCTGGACGTGGACGAGCTCGTTGGCACCCTCACCGCAAAGGACCTCGTCGCGCTCGAAGCTGCCACCGGCACCATCAACGTCGGCCTGGACAGCGTGACCATCCGCAGGGCTGGAGTCGAAGAGTTTGTGCAGAAGCACAGCGCCGCCGGCGCCGAGTTCCTGACCCTCGACGAGTGGCTCGGCACGGTGGCGCAGAACAGGTCGGAGGCCCGAGCCGCATCCCAGAGGGCGCTGCGTGGGCCCACCTGCAGCTTCGAGAGTATAGTGAGCCTCCCCAGCTCCTGCACGGAGACGCAGTGGGTGAACAATTGCGGCAACTCCTGCAGCGAGAGTTGCACCACGTGCCGCATGGCGCACCCGAATGCGAGCTCCGCTGCCCGAGTGTACCAGAATTCCACCTCCGCCGCGCTGGTGTCCCACGATCTTGCCGTCGCGCGAGCGTCTCAGGAGCTGGAGTTCTGGGGCGGGAGGCGTCGACGTCGCTGGTTTAACGTCGTCAAGGACGTGGTATCGACGGTCGTTGACGTGGTGGTGTGCGCGGTGAGCTGCGTCACAAACTGCGTGTGGTCGTGCTTCACTGAAGCAGTGGAGTATGTGTACACTTGTGTGGTCGACACTGTCGTGAATGTGCTCATGAGCTTCGGAGAGTGTCTGTCAATGGTGGTTGACGCCGTCAACGACGCGGTTGGTGACATGTGCGGCTTCGATCTCATCCCGACAAGCTGCTCTGGCGTCTTCGATTGCATTTCGGAGGGCGTCAGCAACGCTCTCTCATTCTTTGAGTGTGGTTTCACAATTCTCTTAGATATACTCGAGAACATGGTCATGGCAAACCTTCGATGTCTGCCGAACATCGCCGACGGCATCAGGGCGGCCCTGTTTCCTCCCGAAGCTATCATTGCTACTACGGTTTTTGAGGCTCTGTGGGACTTCGGTGAGAGGGTCGTGAACGGGATCTACGAAGAGGCCTCGAACGTGAACATCGACTTCTGCTGGAACTCGGCCCCCACGGCCGAATTCACTGACTGCGGCGCCTTCGACTTCGTGAGCAGCATGACCATATGGGACGTGCTCGACATTTTCGGGATGGCCAAGCGTTTCGCGGACACTGTGGCGAAGTTTACCAATTGCCTTACGAAGACTACGAGCCTCCCTGGGCTTTCCTTCGGCATTCCTACGCCCTTCCTGAACGTGGATTGGACTGGAGGCTCGTGGTGTGCCCCGAGCTTTGTTCAAACCGCGGCCAAGGGAGTCATTGGCGTGTTCAAGTACATAGCTTCAGGGCGGATGCTCGATGACCTCATCATTGTAGGTGACAACCTCCTCACCAATCTTCAGACGAGGCTGGAAGCAGTGTTCTGTGACGAAGGCGACTTTACCGTCACACTGGGTGTCGATCTCCAGTTCGGATACGCCGTGCTCGGCATCAAGGCTCAGGCTGGATGCCTCAGTGGCAGGTTCGCCGCCAAGATTGTCGGTTTTGCCACGGGCAGGATTTCTATCTTCGGCTCGCCGTACACATGGGAGCCAGCTGCCTCCGCGTTCTTCAGCATCGGCTGTACGGCAGGGCCCTCGAGCTCGGAGTGGTCGTACTGGGAGTCTGCTCTGGTCGGCATCCTGGCGTTTGACATTTTCTCGGGGGCGGTGGCGCTGCCTCTCTATCCGACCCCGAAGCTCGAGTTTGGCTACAGCTTCAGTCTGAAGCTCTGGCCCCAGCCTGCCCCGCCCCCCCGCCTGTCGGGGGGGGAGTTCAATGAGGCGTCGCTGCTGCCGGCGCTGCGCCTCCTCTCAGGGGCCACCTCTGACCCCAGCTTCGGCGATGACGTCAAGAACAGGTTCCCGGATCCCAAGCCTGTCCTCGAGGGGGCCCGCAACGGGTCGCTTCAGAGAGCCAACGTGAACAAGAGTGCTGGAGAATTAGCCGGCAGGATCGCCATCACTGTGACGAAGAATTTCTGCTTCACTTGCGACGATTTCGGGTCGGAGCCTGCCTGGGTCACGGGCCTCTCCAACATGGCCCAGCAGTTCACTTGTGCCGTGAGTCAGGCGGTGGCGGGAGCCTCCTGGGGAGCGCTGAGCCTCGCTCAATGCTTCGCCAGGGTGGCAGACTGGGAGGCGGCCGGGAACTACTGCGAGTACTTGTACTCCGACTCGACGGACGACGGCGGCGTGGGGAGCACGTGCGCCTGCATGCCGCCCAATGCGATGTCTGCCGGGATCTGCCATGCCTCGACCGGAAGGGGCAGTGAGGGGTCGGCGGCGTTCGTGATGTACCGGCATCAGAGGTTGACCTGCGAGACAGGCAGCGGAGCGGCCTGCAAGACTTGTGTCACGCCGCAGTCGCGAGTGGTGAGAGACCAGTGTGAGACCTGCAACGACGGCCACCTGCTGGTCGGCTACAAGTGCTCGGCCTTCACGCCGTCTCCGACGCCAAACCCGACGACGTATCCGACGCCGAGCCCGACGCGGAACCCGACGCCGAGCCCGACGCCACTGCCACCCGGCGCCACGCACTCTCCGACGCCAAGCCCGACGCCCCACCCGACGTTGTATCCGACGCCAAGCCCGACGTCGCGGCCGACTCCGCCTCCGACGCCGAGCCCGACGCCGATGCCGACCGAAACCTGCGTGGACGTCCCGGGCTGGGCGAGCAAGGACGGCACGCCCTGCTCCTGGTACAACGCGAATAACCGCTGCACCACGTCTGGAGGCTATGGATCCGGATGGTCGTCTTCGTGGGGCGTCTTTTCAGATTGGTCGAACGATGGATATGACGGCTCGACGGCGTGCTGCGGTTGCGGCGGGGGCACGTCGCCGAGTCGGTGCCAGTACATCGAGGTCGTTGCAGGGACAGCTGGGCACGTACAATTGCCATACAGCTCGGGCATTCGATCATTGTCAATGTGGATTGCACCGTACAAGGACGGGGGCTATCATTGGGAGTACGTGTTTGACGCACGTACTGGACTTGGGGCGGGATGGTTCTCCTTTCTGGACTGGGCTTCCGGATCTGGCGCACCGCAAATCCACAAGGGCGGCAATTGGCGTGACACCATATACGTCAATGGGGTTGCCACCAACACTGCTGGCTTCATATCTGCTGTCAACTCTGCCACCACCACCTCCGCCCCGTGGGTTCACCTGTACGTCGGCTCAGACACCACGTTCAATGATGACATAACCGTGTTCGCCCGATACTCAAGCAATGAAAATTTGCCTGGAAGGATCTATTCCGTGGATCTTTGGCCATATGAGCTGTCTGCGTCCGACATTCAGAACACAATGAACGGACAGGCGACATCAGTTTCTCCCGTGGCCTCGTACTCCGCGGCAGCCATGAGATCGTACACGACCGGGACCGCGTATCTCAAGGCCAACGAGGCCGGTACGACGCAGTGTCCGCCAATGCCGACGCCAAGCCCGACGTGGTATCCCACGGCAAACCCAACGTGGGAACCCACGCCAAGCCCGACGACGCCGTATCCCACGCCAAGCCCGACCCCAAACCCGACGCATGTGCCGACTCCAAGCCCGACGCCAAACCCGACGCCGTTTCCGACGCCAGACCCGACGCCAAGCCCGACGGCAAGCCCGACGCCGCTTCCGACGGCTAGCCCGACGCCAAGCCCGACCGCAAACCCGACGACAAGCCCGACGCGGAGCCCGACGTCTGCGCCCACATACCCACCCCTTGGGGACACGCTGGCATCGGGAACTTGCAGCTGCTCCACCCCCCCCTGCGGCTGCAACTGTTGGGATTGCACAGAGGCGCGTCAAGCCGCTGGATGCTGCAGCTGCGGGGCCTCTGGGAGTTGCGGATACAGCGACACGATGTCTTTGTGCGACGGGTGTGTGGGCTGTTGGCACAAAGGCAAATGTGGTTGCAGTAGCGATTCGGTCACTTGGCCATACTATGAGGCTTTTGCTCTCGATTGCTCGAGCGGCAGCTACCTGTCCTCTACAGCAGTGCCGCCGACGCCAAGTCCGACCCCAAGCCCGACGCCAAGCCCGACGCCACTGCCGCCCGACTTCACTTTTTCTCCAACGCCAAGCCCGACGCTAAGCCCGACAGCTAGCCCGACACCGTCTCCGACGTTGTCAGAAGCGCAGGCCACTTGCGGCTGTTCGAGCCCACCGTGTGGTTGCAACTGTTGGGATTGCACAGAAGCGCGTAAAGCTGCTGGATGCTGCAGCTGCGATGATGGTTGCGGTTTCTTCGATCTCCCAAATTCTACATGCGACGGTTGCATGGGTTGTTGGCACGGCGGCAAGTGTGGCTGCAGTACAGACTCGTCTACTTGGTTCTTCTATCGGGCCTTTGGTCTCACTTGCTCAAATGAAACCGGCAGCTACTTGTCGCACTATGCAAAGCTAACGGGCGAGTACACCGCATGGGAAATTCTGCCAGACGGTGTGACCGCGGCCGACCTCATGAATTCCACCACCTACGTGACCGCCAAACAGACAGGTTTGGCTGCTGGCCTGAACATGTCCGCTTCTGACGTTACCATCACGGGCTTCACCATCGGGGACGCCCACCGGCTCGCCGCTGCCCACCGGCTCGCCGCTGCTGCCCGCCAGCTCTCGCAACACGTCAGTGTGACGACGGCCTTCACTGTGAACATCGTCGGCAGCAACAGCGCCGATTCCCTCTCCGCCCTGATCGCGAACGCCTCCGAAGCCGTCGGGAACGCCACGAACGATGCCATGGCCGCCGCGGACTGGAGCGCCGAGCCGGTCCTCACCGCGGCTCCCACGCTGGAGCCTCCCGCCATGGGCGCGGCAGCCTCGACCGCGGGAGTCACCCAGGCTCCCACGCCGGTGCCCGTGGTCATCGGGGCCAGCATGGGGGCTGTCGCGGCGACTGGCGACCCGCACCTGCAGAACGTCTATGGCGAGCGCTTCGACCTCATGCAGGCTGGCAGGCACGTCCTGGTCCAGATCCCGAGGGGCGCGCTCGCCGAGGGCACCCTGCTGCGCGTCGACGCGGGCGCGGAGAGGCTCGGCGAGGCGTGCGGGGACATGTACTTCCAGGAGGTGAACGTCACCGGGAGGTGGGTCCAGGCGAAGCACGCTGGCGGCCTGCGGTACCGCGCGGCGGAGGTCGCCCCGAAGGACCCCAAGTGGGCCACGTTCGGGAGGGTCGACCTGAAGGTCGGGCACGGGCACACGGGGCAGGGCATCCGCTACCTCAACGTCTACGTCAAGCACCTGAACCGCGCCGGGTTCTCGGTCGGAGGGCTGCTGGGCGAGGACGACCACAGCGAGGAAGAGACTGCTCCCACGGGTTGCAGGCGTAAGCGGTTCAGTATTTAAGATAGACTTTAGCTCACGGCGCCGTCACCGCTAAGTTCCAAGACCCTCTTTGGAATCAGCCACGTCGCATTTCTCACAGACCCGGCCAGCGGGGGGCCACAAAAAGGCGTTCCGACTGATCAGCACTCGCAAGTGTGGTGTGCATCGCGGTTTCTGTGATCGCTGGCTTGGGGGTGCTTAGGAGGAGGACTACGATGATAAGGAGGAGGAGAAGGTGGAAGGGGAGGAGGAGGAGGAGGGAGGAGGAGGAGGAGGGAGGAGGAGGGAGGAGGAGGAGGAGGAGGAGGAGGAGGAGGAGGAGGAGGAGGAGGAGGAGGAGGGAGGGAAGAGGAGGAGGAGGAGGAGGAGGACTGATGAGGAGGAGGAGGAGGAAGAAGGGGAGGGGGAGGAGGAGAAGGAGGAGGAGGAGGAGGAGGAGGAGATCTGCGAAGCTCGTGGGCTTCTGGGAGGGCCAGCGGAGGTACGGCATACGCAGATCGCCACGAGACCTCGCCTTGCCCTGGGGGGCTGAGATCTGCGAAATTGTTGGCGCTTTCGTGGGAGTTCGACGCGCGCGCGCGGCCGACGCGCGAGAGTGGCCCGCATGATGTTATTTGACAGAGATCGCTCCCCCCCAGCACGCGCGCAAGGGCGTGCGAAGGATTTCGGCATGCGGCGCGAGAGGCCCGTTCGGCTGAATTCCATGCACATGTTGACCAATGTATGGGTCATTTCAAGCATTCGCCAGAGCGCGATCGCAGGTTTCCTTGGAGACTGATGTTTGCACATGGTTTCGGGACACTCGGTTTTGAAATCCTTGCGACGCCTGGGTTCTGTTGACGGGTTTCGACATGCGCGCGCGCGACGACGCGCGCGCGTGCACTTCGTCTCTTTTTTGTAAAAGGGCTTTTGGCGACGGCACGCGGGCAAGGGCTTTCGAATGAGTTCGACACGCGCGCGCGCGAAGTCCGTTTAGTAGCATTTTCTGATCATGTTGAAGCACCCATGGTTTTTTTCTTAATTCGCAAGAGCGCAAGCGCAAACTTTTTTCTGAAAGTCGGAATTGCGAAGCTTTGTGGTTTTATATGTTTCTTGGGCACTCGATTCTGCAACCCGTGCGACACCGCAGGTTTTTGAAGGATTTCGGCATGCGCGCGTGCGCGTTTCGTCCCGTGTGTTTGCAAGGGAAGATTGGCAACGGATCACTGTAGATGAACGATTGCGCGCGCATAAGTGTTTTTGCAGAGAATGGCGGGGGGGGGTCGATACCAGTCCCCTTGGGATTGCACGGGTTTAATTTTTAGGATGGACAAAGTGACAGAGTCGTATTTCAATTGCATCACGAAGATTGGGGCCGATAGTCCCAGGGGGGAGGTGGAATCGGTTCTCTTCCTAGACAAGAGAACCTAGGTGTTGCAACCTACGTTGTACAATCTGGCCGGCGACGGGGCGGCGACGGAGTGGCGACGGGGCGGCGACGGCGAGCACGGAACCGCCAGACCGCCACCCCGGCCCAGATCCTGAAACCCAAAAAAGTAAAAACCCCTTGAGTGCAATCACTGTCTGGGAAGATTCGAGATCCTCGATCCTCTCTCCTTCTCCTCCCCTCGCCTTCCCTTCTCCCCTCCCCTCCCAAGACCTCCGACGTCTTGCTTTGTCTCGCAGCGGGGACCACCGTTTCTACCGGCACCTGGGGCCCGGTGAGTGGCCGAAGCTTATCACAGAGCAGTCGTGTTTCTTTTCGCGACGCGAAGGGGCTTGGACTCGGGAGATGCAGATCAGCCCTTGGACGGAAACTGGAACGTATACGTTACCAGTGGCGGGCTGTTTCTCAATCCCAGGATTTCTTGAGGGTCGAGGACGACGCTGGGGTGGTGAGGTGTATACTTTTCCCCCCGATGTCCTGGGGAAACAACGAAACATATATACACCAGGGTCCCGTATACACCAGGCTCCGCTCTCCAGTGCAGATTCTAATGCAGGGCCGGAAGAAGCGTCGGTGTATAGAGTTCGATTCCTTACTTGGACTCGTCCCAGGGTGGGTTGTGGCTGGAAGCTCGGGGCGGATGCAGCCGCGGCGACGAGGACGCCCAGGACAGGCCAACGGCGCCCAGCAGATCTCCGACCTCCCTCCTCGAGCCTCGGAGCTCTCCTGGCCCCTGCCCCCCCGGCGCCGAGAGGCTCCTGAAGCAGCTCTCCGACCTGCGAAGCCAGCTCTCCGAGGGGGTGGGTGTCGCGCGCGCCGACGCCTCCTTCCACCAGCAGGCGGCCCCCTTCCCCGCGGCGGCGTCGCCGCGCCGCAGCCTTCGCCATTCGAGGAGGAGGAGGAGGAGGAGGAGGAGGAGGAGGAGGAGGAGGAGGAGGAGGAGGGGGAGGAGGAGGACGAGAAAGGACGAGGAGGACGAGGAAAAGGGCGGCAATGAGCTCACTGAAGGTAAGCTTATGCTACCCAGGAGCCCCATACATTCATTTCCCCGAAGAGGCTTACGCCATTCCGCCGACCTCCAGAGGAGGAGGAGGAGGAGGAGGAGGAGGAGGAGGAGGAGGAGGAGGAGGAGGAGGAGGACCGTGCGGCTTCCAATGTCGTGTGCGTTTTGTTTGCGGCTCCCCGTCGTGCTGCCCGCGTGCGGTCTCTGTGGACTCGTCCTCCTCTTCCTCCGCATCTCTGTTCTGGGGCCTCTCGGGGGCCCCCTGGTGAGGCCATCGTGGAGGCCTAGGGGGGCGGGCTCCTGCAGCTTTCTCGAAGAAACTCCCGGAGGCTTTGGAGCGGCCTTCTGGGGCCTTCTTGATGGCCTCTTGGGGGCATGCTGGGGGCCTTGGGGGCCATCCTGTGTGCGGGGGGGGGGGGGGCGGGGTCCGTGCTGGCCCCCTGCTGGGCCTGCCTTGGGCCCCCCCTTGAAAGTTTTGTGCCGTCCTGTGGGCGTCTTGGTGCCCGTTTTGGGCCTGCAGGCGCCCGAAGAGGTGAGAACCAGAGCGTCGTGCAGCACGTATAGAACACCACTTTTGGGGCGCCTTGAGGCCTTCTCGGGTCTTGCGGGTTCTCTTGGGGCCCTCTTTGGGAGCCGTGGGCTGTCCTGAGACGACCTTTGGCGCTCTGATGGAGGGAGGGAGGGAGGGGGGGAGGGAGGGAGGGAGGGAGGAGAGGGGAGGAAGGGAGGGAGGGAGGGAGGGAGGGGAGGGGAGGGAGGAAGGGAGGGAGGCCTCCTGGGCGTGCGCGCGCCCCTCGTGAGCTGCTTTCGGGGCGGCTATCGTGGGCGTCTTGGAGGCGACGGAGGGCGGATCTGGAGGCTCTGCGAGCCAGGAAGGGCCCTCGACGAGCTCGTGGGGGCCCCCAGGCCCCTACCCTCCAGGCTCTCCCCCCCCCGACCCCCCCTCCCTGGGGAAGGGGAATTGGGGGGGGCAGTCGATCCTCTCACGCGCCTGTGCCAAGCCAGGATCAGGTAGGACAATTACCGGGTTGGGAGGATGGGGTTGGGAGACATGATGATATCATTACCCGTAGGCGGCCGAAGGTATCGTTCGCTGCATCCGGACGCTCTTGCTCATGCCCGTTACCCTCCCAACCCCTTCCTCCCTACACGAGAATTGGTCTCCTCACAGGCGAGAATTGCTGCTCGACGAGTCTGCGTGCACCGGGAGGGCCATGCGAAGGTCCGAGCTACCAGCGTGCCGGGCGCGGCGGCGGCGGCGGCACGAGTGCCCTTGCCGCCAGGAGCGGGTCCCCGCCACGGCTCGGCGGAGGTGGCGACGGCGGCGGCGTGGGAGCAGCAGCGGGAGGAGGAGGAGGAGGAGGAGGAGGAGGAGGAGGAGGAGGAGGAGGAGGAGGAGGAGGAGGAGGAGGAGGAGGAGGAGGAGGAGGAGGAGGAGGAGCTTGGAGCTTGGAGCAGATGACTAAGCCATTCGAACCCACCTATTAAATTCCCTCGGCGGCAGCAGGCGGCGGCACAAGGGGGGAGGCTGGGTGGCTGGGCGGCGGTCCTTGAACTTCTTGAACTTGGCGCCGTCCCTGCCTACCCTCCTACCTTCATTCCTCCCTCCGTGCCATTTCCGCCTTGCTCAGGGCCTTGGGCTCTCTGTGGGTGGCAATTCTATTTAGGTACTCTTGCCCATGCTTGGGCACGACATTGGGGCATTGTTTGCCTAAGCTGGCTAACTGATGACGACCGAAGAAACCGCACGAGATACAGAACCATTCTTGCAGCGTTAAGTGGTATTGCAGCTGATGCGTTTCGTGGATCCACCCCCCAGCCAGGTGAACTCTAGCCCCTTGTGAGGGAGACCTGAAGACCCCTCCTACATTTTGGAGCTCATAGCACGGGCTGGAACGCCAGGTCATCATCTCGTCCTGGCTGGCTGTGTTGCAACATCTACTACAGCCGTTCCCTAGATCATGTATAATATGCTGCGTGCAAAAAATGCTCAGCTGTGCTGCGCCAGGGGGCAATGTGGCTGGGTCGGCTTCACCTTTTTTTCTACGCCCTCGATGTGATTCACTGGCTTCTGCAAGCTTCTCGCATTCAACTGCATCGAGCGTGGCCCGCAGGAGGCGGTGCCTGACCATACACGCTTTACGCTCGATCATATTTACTTGGTGCCTTTCAATCTCAGATAGCCTACTCTCATCAGCTGCAATCTCTGCCACCTGGTCTGCAGCTGCATTGGCTAAAATCAGCCACTCTGGACAACGTTTCTGCCAAACTGCGTTCCCGTCAAGATGGGAATTAGCAAAACGGACAGTGACTGTGGTGGGTTCACGTGGAGGTGGAGGCCAGGTCAGGTCAGGTCAGGTCCCTCGATGAGAAGGGAGACGGGGGAGTGAAGCGCGTACAGGTCCAGTCGACGAGGCCCGAAGCAGGGCAAACTGTGAAACAAGTTTACAATTCAGTCGGACCTGTCCCCCTACAGGGGGATGTTCGACGAGCAATACAACTACCCCCAAAATATTCAAAACAATAATAAAACATAGCCTGGGGACTATGTTTGGGGTATTTTTTTGACATTTTTTGGGCATTCTTGTGGTTTTTATTTATCGTATAAAATCCCCCTGTAGGGGAACAGGTCCGACTTAATTTTACAAGAGGGATCTTGACCACACAGATGGGCCCAACGCCCAGGGTCTCCT